TCAGTGAGGACAGGTGACGGTCAGTGAGGACAGGTGACTGTCAGTGCGGACAGGTGACTGTCAGTGAGGACAGGTGACGTCAGTGAGGACAGGTGACGTCAGTGAGGACAGGTGACTGTCAGTGAGGACAGGTGACTGTCAGTGTGGACAGGTGACTGTCAGTGAGGACAGGTGACATCAGTGAGGACAGGTGACGGTCAGTGAGGACAGGTGACTGTCAGTGCGGACAGGTGACTGTCAGTGAGGACAGGTGACTGTCAGTGAGGACAGGTGACTGTCAGTGAGGACAGGTGACTGTCAGTGAGGACAGGTGACTGTCAGTGTGGACAGATGACTGTCAGTGAGGACAGGTGACATCAGTGAGGACAGGTGACATCAGTGAGGACAGGTGACGGTCAGTGAGGACAGGTGACTGTCAGTGAGGACAGGTGACTGTCAGTGAGGACAGGTGACTGTCAGTGTGGACAGGTGACTGTCAGTGAGGACAGGTGACTGTCAGTGTGGACAGGTGACTGTCAGTGATATAAAAATATGTTTTATAAGGTATTAAGTTGCCTTTATGCCTATTCAAACATATACTTTGTGTGTGTTACTTTTCAGAATTAAATCAGAATTAAATGTCTAAATTGCCATAAAAGGCAAGGTTGGAATGATATAGGAATGATTATTTTGATGCTTTTATGTCAATTTATACTTATTTTACACTCATTTACATGTAGTTTGAAAACACACTTATACAACGTGTTATTCACATATTAGGGATTGTATGCCTGTTCAAACATATACTTTGTGTGTGTGTTACTTATAATATTTAGACACTATTTGATGGTTTGCAGAGGGATGGAGGGGTGCGTGTTCCCTCTTTAGGAATGCTTTGTAAAAGTTTAAGGAGTATTTCTGGCTTCAAGGTCTTGGCCCGCCTTGAGGTCACGATGCTCCTTATTGGTAATAAATCACCAGCTCCTCATCCGTTGTTCTGGTAACCATCAAACTTGTTTTTCACTGCTCTCACGAGATCCGGTCAGGGAAAAAGGTATAAAGGAGGTGTGACAGGCAACTTAATTTTGGGAAGTCTTGTGTGGACCAGCGCGCGCGGTGCCATGCAGTTGATGATGTGATTCTTCTTTACCTGGGTCGAAAACGACTTCCCGGCCAGTGTCACGGTGAGAAGTTCTTTCATATCATTTTGTGTGTTAAGAGTGTACGAGTGTACATGTTTTTTGCTTGGCTGTTTTCTGTGGCAGGTTAATAAATGACACTTATTATTCCTAGCAGTAACAGTCTCTGTGTTTTATTTTTCCCTCTTGTCTGAATATTTTGTGCCGATCGTTCACGAACCCTTTTGATAAAGAATTTCATAATACAGTCAGTGAGGACAGGTGACTGTCAGTGAGGACAGGTGACGTCAGTGAGGACAGGTGACGGTCAGTATGGACAGGTGACTGTCAGTGAGGACAGGTGACGTCAGTGAGGACAGGTGACGGTCAGTAAGGACAGGTGACTGTCAGTGAGGACAGGTGACTGTCAGTGAGGACAGGTGACGTCAGTGAGGACAGGTGACGGTCAGTGAGGACAGATGACTGTCAGTGCGGACAGGTGACTGTCAGTGAGGACAGGTGACGTCAGTGAGGACAGGTGACGGTCAGTGAGGACAGGTGACTGTCAGAGTGGACAGGTGACTGTCAGTGAGGACAGGTGACATCAGTGAGGACAGGTGACGGTCAGTGAGGACAGGTGACTGTCAGTGCGGACAGGTGACTGTCAGTGAGGACAGGTGACGTCAGTGAGGACAGGTGACGGTCAGTGAGGACAGGTGACTGTCAGTGAGGACAGGTGACGGTCAGTGAGGACAGGTGATGTCAGTGAGGACAGGTGACTGTCAGTGCGGACAGGTGACGGTCAGTAAGGACAGGTGACTGTCAGTGAGGACAGGTGACTGTCAGTGAGGACAGGTGACGTCAGTGAAGACAGGTGACTGTCAGTGAGGACAGGTGACTGTCAGTGCGGACAGGTGACTGTCAGTGAGGACAGGTGACTGTCAGTGAGGACAGGTGACGGTCAGTGAGGACAGGTGACTGTCAGTGAGGACAGGTGACGGTCAGTGAGGACAGGTGACTGTCAGTGAGGACAGGTGACGGTCAGTGTGGACAGGTGACTGTCAGTGAGGACAGGTGACTGTCAGTGAGGACAGGTGACGGTCAGTGTGGACAGGTAACTGTCAGTGAGGACAGGTGACTGTCAGTGAGGACAGGTGACGGTCAGTGTGGACAGGTGACGGTCAGTGAGGACAGGTGACGGTCAGTGTGGACAGGTGACGGTCAGTGTGGACAGGTGACTGTCAGTGAGGACAGGTGACGGTCAGTGAGGACAGGTGACTGTCAGTGAGGACAGGTGACTGTCAGTGTGGACAGGTAACTGTCAGTGAGGACAGGTGACGTCAGTGTGGACAGGTGACTGTCAGTGTGGACAGGTAACTGTCAGTGTGGACAGGTAACTGTCAGTGAGGACAGGTGACTGTCAGTTAGGACAGGTGACTGTCAGTGTGGACAGGTGACAGGTCAGAAACACCTCAGGAGTAAACCAGCTTTCTGTAAAACTGATGAATGTTTGTTGATGTTGTTTTTCTAATTAGCCTAATTTACTAACGCACCAAAACGTCTCATTAAAACCGTTGAAATGGGCCGAACCGGACTCTGGACTCACATGGAGACTGGTTTCTTTTAAAGGTTTAATCTGTGAAGGTTTGTTTTGAGACAAAGCAAAGAGGAACGACTGGAGGAGCAGTAAAGACACAGGGAGACCCCACGGACGAACCGGAACCAGCACCGGCCGCAGGAGCGCAGTTCTACTGCAGTCCTACCATTCTACGGTGTCCGGGAGGGGCCACAGCTGTCCTACCTGCAGTTCTACCCTCCTACGGTGTCCGGGAGGGGCCACAGCTGTCCTACCTGCAGTCCTACCCTCCTACGGTGTCCGGGAGGGGCCGCAGCTGCTGATTTACTTTCCTCCAGGAATCACATCGAGCCGCTGCCGCTATCCAGGTGGAGTATCCGGGCAGAAAAACGGGCTCCTGTCGCTTCTGAGGCCGGTTCTCCACTCCTCCGGGTCACCGAACAGGCTCCGGTTCCGGTCAGGTTCTGGGTAAACAATGCGGGTCGTCGTGCGACGTTTTGCTGCTCCTTTTTCCCGGTGAAACGGAAGAACAGCGACTCTACGTCAGCCTGCGGAGCAGCTGCGGACATGCGCAGTCAATGTGTACCGACACACTAACAGCTTCCGGCTGACCTTTCAAAATAAACTACATCCGTGACCAAGCGTCTGCATATCAGAGATCATCAAGCTTTATTACCTTTATGTATAATAACAAGACATGCGTTTCATTTATTTTATTTACTAGGTTATAAGATTTGACTCAAATTTCATTGTTTCAGAGTCAAATGTGTCAAAATAAAAGCACCTGACGGATCTTCGGTGCCGGCCGGGAACAGGTGTACCAGTGACACCCATTGTGCCACCCATAGACATGATGATACCTGATGGGTGAAGCTTTACCTGGAACCGGAAGAACTGGTTTCACACTGGAGCGTGACGTCAGGTTCAACTAGAACAAAGTTTTTGTCAGATGCAAGGAGGTCAAAAACTGCAGGAATGCAAAATGTTTAAAACACATTAAAAACGCACAGTTTGCACTTGTCCTGGTTCTTCAGGTCTGACTCCTCGGGCACTGACGAGTTTCAGTCACTAAAGTGTGAGTTCAAAAGAACAAAGTTTCTGTCAGCCTCAGCCCAAACAGTAAATATTCATCTTTAATCATGGCCGACTTGGATATTTTCAGATAAACCTTCTGTTTCCAGACAAGCGGACCTTCATTCCTCAGGTTTGTGTTTGAACCTGCAGGTGACCCAAACTGGTTTTCACAGATTATCCGTTGTCAGATCAACAGCTTCTCTCCTGACAGCTGATCAAACTGATGTGATGTGTTCATCGGCTGCTGTCACGTTTTATTTCATCTGCAGAGAAGTTTTAACTGTGGAGAAAAAAAATAAATAAATCTTCAATTTCCTCAGATTTTCTGTCAGAAGCTGTGAAGCAGATTTCAGGTAGCATCAAGTCCCAACAGAAGTCGTCTCAGGGCTTAGTGTAGAGTCCCGGGTTCACCTGCTTCTTTTTTTGTTTTGTGGGAGGAAACCCACCTGTGTGCCACGAAAAAAATCAAACCACCGATCCTCTTTCTGCGAGGCAACATTCCTGACCGCTGCACCCTCAGTATCATCCAGGGTCAGTAAGATCCAGGAACCCTGAGATGATTGTTAACATTCAGGAACCGTAACAAACATCCGTTTTCTGTTAATAACACATATTAAGTTCAGACCCAGCTGTGTGAGTTTAATACAAGCAGCATTAGCAATCCTTTATTGATCACTGATCAGGTATTTGTTTAGAACATTGTTGGTACATAAAGCTTCAGTCACATCAACAGGACAAAGTGGCTGTTTTCAGATCAGCAGTACTCAGAACATCCCAGTCTAAGACCTGGTCCAGTACAGTGTGAGTACTCATGCAGACTGGACGCTGTCATGTGACCGACTGCAGAGTCATGTGACATAAATCGCAGTCTTTTGACCGACTGCAGATGTAACTCAAAATGTCTTTACAGATGTTAGCAGCTGTCAGTAGATTACTAACCAAACAAATTGTTAAAAATCTTATTTACATTCAGCTACACTGTTAAACGTTTACTCAGATCTCCACACATTCCTGAAAAAGGCACACGGGAGAAGAATAAAAAGAAGAACAACTTGAAAGAATCAGATGTTTGGAGAAATGCTCATTTCACAGCTTTAAATCTAAACAGGCTATCATAAATATAGGTAATCAATTAACATGATAGGAAATAAAACATTAACCAATATATCCAAAAAAGTTCAATCTGGTCCTCTGGACATTAAAAAAAAAAAACAAAGCAAATCAACAAAAAGATGAATGTCCAGAGGACCAGATTGAACTTTTTTGGATTTTTCTACCTGGATTATTGAGCATGCATCAGGATATTAACCAATATAACAAGTTAAAAGCGGGTGAAGAAAGCAACAACAAAACAGTTGTTTTTTTTTATTTTAAAAAGTTACAGAAAAACTTTACCTGCTTTTAGTTTAAAGTTGGTTCAACCTGTAGCTGCACAAACAGGTTGTTGGTTTAACTTTCACCTCTAAATAGAGAAATGGATGATGGTTTTCCTTTGTACCCCTCTAAACATTTTGTGGCTAAGGTTTTGGAGTGCAGGTCTTATATCAAGGGGGCCTTAGTAAAATGTACACACTGCTCAGTTCACACCATGAATCCAGTTTGGACTCCCTCATACTGAAATGGGAAGCGGACTCGTAGAAACCCATATCAAACCCAATCTGGAGAAGGACAATTAAAAACATTTACTCATCTTCAATTTGCCTAAAACTTTCTGTAATCCAATTCAAAGTAGTGCACAGGCCGCACTGGTCCAAGGATAAGCTGTCCAAGATCAAGGCCGATCTGGACCCAGCATGCAATCGTTGCAAACAAAGCCCAGCTACACTTCTGCACACATTCTGGACCTGTCCCAAACTGCAGACCTTTTGGCAATTTATTTTGACACCTTCTCTGGAATATGTGGCAAAACTGTACACCCATCACCACTCATGTTCCCTGTGGACATGTCCTTCAGCAAATGTGACAAGGGTGTGATTGTGGTTGAATGATTACCTTTGGCTCTCCTGGCCTTGAGGCTAATGTGCAACTGGAAGGACCCACGCCCCCCAGCATATGTACAATGGATAAGAGAGATGATGTACCATATCCACCTGGAACAACTAAGATATACCTTGAAGGGTTCTGTCGAGATTTTGGGACACTTGGCAGCTTTTTGTGTTGTACATTGAAAGCATGTCAATGCTTGTTTAGTTTGTTTGTGACTGATCTGGTGTGGGACGGATGGGGTGGGGGTTTATGTTGTTCTTTGTTTATGTGTGTTTAAAATGAAAAAAACTTCATTATATCTCATTATCAGAACCAATCAATCAATAAATATTCCTAATTGATCATTGATCATTCTTTTCACTCCTCCTGGAGTATTCAGGACATGTCCCAGAGACATCACAGCTGTCTTCAGAGAAGCAGCTGGTCTACATCCCTGTTGGACCTTTGTGTCTCTGTCTCCTCACAGTGTCCTCAGCTAGGTTTTTGTCTTCAGATTGTCCTGTAACTGGAACCACGTGGACCTTCTGTGTTTTTGTCTCTACATGTTCTTTTCGTCCTCACAGCGGACTGACGTCCGTCTCAGTTTCTCTCTGACTTTCATGAACTCTGGAGCTGTCAGGTTGTCCTTCTGCTGCTGCTCCTGCTGCTGTTCCAACTGCAGAGAGAGAAGGACGGGGACAGTAGGACGAAGAAAAGAGAGACAAGGAGACAACACATTAAGAGCCAGAGAAGAGAGTGGGACAAACGAGACAGAGAGAGGAAGGACGAGGACAGAGTCATATTCAGGAGGACCAAGTCACACCGAAGACGGAACATTCAAGTAGACAAAAATCATAAAAACTTAAGACTAAACAACATCTGCATCAACCATCTGCTTCCAACATCTGCATCTAGCATCTGCTTCCAACATC